GCTTCATACTTCAACTATGTTCGCTATTACCTGAGATCGAACATAAACGGCAAACGATTCAATGAAAACTCCACAACGAGCCCGCGCTCCCTCTTTCGCGTCATTCTCCAACAACGCGCGTCTAATATACGTTATTACGTTGAATCCGAAAAACTATGGTATCTATGAGTGAACGGAAATATATCAAGGGTTATTTTTGCGATATCTTATCGTGATTAATTGATAAGTAATTTTGTAATCCCGTACGCGCGCGCGCACGCGCACGCGCCCGGAAGATATCGACGAGAATCCACCGATAAAACCGAAACGATTCACTAGACGATAAAAGCAACTGATCCGATCGATTGCATCGTTTTAAACATACCACTCGTCATATGGACAAAACTCTAAATCATCATATCGCCTACGGTATTAGCTACAACCTTTACAAATCTTCCCGTCTGCATCCCCTTATTTAGACGAAGGAACGTACTAGTCGAATGTAAGGTTACTGGCAGAGTGCTAGAAATAATAACTAGAACCAACTAGTGGCTCCGCCGAATTTTGTAGAAAGACCGCCGATGCCCTTGCCGAACATGTTACCGACTTTGCCAACAACGTTCGAGGTGACGTTGCTCAGATTGGCCACGTAATTTGCCTCCTCTCCTGTTATCGTCTCAACGATCGTCACTTTTGTCTTAGGTCTCTCCACCTCGTCGTCATTACCATTCTCCGAAAGCCCTCTGCAATGCGAATGGAAATCATTGCAGCAGCTATTTCTGTATGGCGGAAAAATTTCTACAAACGCGTATATAAGATTATGTGTAAGATTTTTCTAAGAGCGCGACTCTTACTCTTCGTTCTGAGCGCTCATGGTTAAGGCACAAGTTGCTTCTTCCGTCTGCATCCTCTTGGATATAGTCTGATATGTCTTCGAGTTGAGTTTCTCCTCCATTACGCCCTGGAGCTCGAAGTCCGAGTAGATCTTCTTCACGATGTGAGCTAGGCAGGTACATTGATACAGGTGCAGGTTATGATCGAGTCTCTCGGACAACCAATTACACAGTATTTGTATCTGCGCCGTGTACCATTGCTAGACACAGAAGCCAAACGAATCAACGCCAAGTTTCATCTTTCTCAGTTTTCCAAGCTCGCAGGTGCTTTAAATCGACTTACCTCGAAGAAAGTCAGGATCCACAATTCGTCGAGGACTTTGCTACGAATCTGATCCATGCAGTTTCTCGTGAAATTTACGTAGGCTTGTCCCATTTCCTTCCCACTTCCTGATACCTTCTATAAACAGCAATTTGCAAAGTACCGATTAAAAAACGTGCCTTTTAGTGCCTAAGTAGTTAGAATTTTGCGTCAGTCGGTTTTACAAGTATTTATCATTTAGCGGAGCGGAGCAAAGTACCGTAAAGCTGAGAATGGAACCGATGAGGGAACCTTCGTCGTAACGAGACAACTTCGAGAGTGTCGTTTCTAGTACCATTACAAGCTTGTTGATCATTCCTTGATTCATTCCCGCTGACGTCTTTTCGATCATGTCGTCGATCTTTGCATGATATTGATGCTAGAAACACGCATATTAATTGACGTGTGATAGCAGTACAGATTTATCTGCCAAACGGTCATTTCACCGTCAAGATTCACGTCATACAAGATATGCTGCGGCGCCCTCTATTCAATTCTTTATTCCCCATTAAATGCGACAACAGGATAAAAAGATGGATCAAAGTTCGAATTTCACGTAACGCACATATCGACTCTTATTAATAATAAAAAAAAGAAAAAACAATACTTCTACACCGAACATTCTCTCACGAGTCGTGCTGAAATGGAAATATCGTATCGTGGTGATCTTCTCGAGGGCTAAAAAAGTCAAGAGTACTTACCACATCGACACCATCGACAGTACAAAGTTTAAAACTCTGGTTCTTGGCATCCAAGATAACATTCACCATAGCGCACATCTCCGACGGTATGATATAATCGGTGGAGGTGAAAGTCACACCCTTCTTCAGCCATTGCTGAAAGGCCGCGTCGGTCCTCTGAATGCACGACTCCACCATGTCGCAGGCCATCAACTTCAGCCTCTGTTCGAGATGTTGTCGGAACTCCTGGTCGGGCCAGTGCAGTCCGCCGATAAACGACTGCAACGCATCCAACTTCCAGAAGAGGTCTTCCGAAGTGGCGCAGCCGTTGCCCTTGATCTCCCATCGCTCCTTCTCAAAACCTTTGTGAATCGACTGAGCGATCGACGTTTCCATCAAATCGACGTAACGCACGACCAACGGCGCGAACGTGTCGCGCAGATGCTGATGAAACCTTCCGTTCTTCAAATTGTCTACGTGCAAATATTAAATTTCACAACCATCTAGAATCCTCAGACCTAAGCTCGGAGCATAGGGGAACTAATCCTATCTCTTCGGATAAATGTAAACTGGCATAAATAGCGAACGTATTGGAATATACGTATTGGAATACGTAACATACGACGTGATAAATACGTGACAAGTACGTAGCGGTGGAATGAAGATCAATCCAGTTAATTCGCTCGTCGATAAAATATAATATGTTAAAATATCCTTTTTTTTTTATATACAAGTACAAGCCTCTCTGTACATACGTGAAGAAACAAACTCACCGTCCGTCCTAAGATAATCGTTCATAATCTGGAACAGCGGAAAACTGTCCCACGTGTCGGGTGGTTGCTCGGCCAGAATCTTATCCATGTCTTCGGCAAAGAGCGACCAGAAGATCTCAGCGTGCTCCACCATAAGATCGCTAAACCAGGCGAACGCCTGCGGTACAGTGTAGTAGGAGCGGATCGTGAAAATATTGGACGTCGCACATATACGGTGGGCACTTCTCTTGTAGCTCGGGGTGATGGGGACGCCACCCTGAGCACGGGACCCTCGAGAACCCAGAAGACACTACTTCTACCATGATACGTCGGTGATGTGAACGATCGCGAGACTCGTGATTGCTATGCGACAAGCGTTTGTTGCTATTGCTCTCTATATCTCTCAACTTGGACTCTCGGCTCAGCAGAGGAAACGCCGAGGGATATCGCAGTTGCGTGTAACAGAGACTGCTCTCGTTTGCAGAAGATAGATTATGAGTGAGAGGTAAAAGTGAAACTATATATTTTTAAACGAAAGGCAACAAGAGAGCTGTATGAAGGGATAGGTGTGGCGGATAGATGTATCAGCGAACAACAATTCAACGTCTTTGGCGAATAAAAAATATTTTTCTCTCTTGTATGTCATTTTTATACTGTCTTGAGGTATCGAGTAAAATTGCAAATCTTCAACAGTGTCGATTTGACACTGTTAAAAATGTATTCAAAATTGATGTGTTCAAAATTAAGAGTGAAGTAACGTTGGAGTAACAAAGTCACACACACACAGTTCATTCCCTGATACAGCTGCCCTATATTGTTCTGTGACATGTTTTGTGATGTATATATATATACACATGTGATGTACACGCGTGATGTATATTGACGTGACAAATTAGAGAACGCAATAACTCAAGAGAAAAAGTGTCGCTCTAGCCCTTCCACAAAAAGAAGCGAATAGCTCTTCACCGCAAAAGGACACCTCACGACGCCGCCCGCCAGCCGCACATCCGGCGCATTACTCTGAACGAAAGTGATTTTTTGCAAATTCTCGCAGTGATAATGAAAGCTGCCTAACGCAATTTTCTAATTCGCGATCGAGATCTACAACGACGAGAGAAAAGTGGGCGAACGCGCGTTTGTCTTCTGAGGAGGTGGCGGACCCTTACCAAGTCCGTTGTTTCCGGCATGCTACCCTCTCTCTCGAGAGCCCCGAGAATCGACACTCAGTTCTAAAAACCCAACTAATACCTCCGAATAATGTTCTTCGTTTTGCTGCAGCAAATCGACGCACAACTCGGCGAGGTGAATAAGATCCTCCAGCTTCTTGCTGGGAGGCACACACACCTCGCCGCTCAGATCGTCATCGAGTTTTGCCTCGGCGGATAATTTCTCGTAATTAACGATCGCCGCTGTTTCTAGGCATCTCTTTATCAATGCCTTCACTTCCTCCTGTGGCACCGACGCCACGCTGTCCTTCATCAGGACGCGTTCCAACAGAGACAAGGTTGATTTCAACGCGCCTTCAGGCCGCCCGAATGGAAAACTGTACCTATTGTGACAAATTTCATACAATTTACATAACGTTTTCTGTGCATACTTCGATCGTCATAATACATATGAGTTGGTCTTTGGGAATGTTATATTTTTTGAAGGAGACACATTTCCATTCCTCAATCGATTCATTTTCTTTTAGAAAAGCAATGTTAATGTACTTTTCAAAATAAATTCTTCAAGATATTCCTTGTGTCTCTCGAGCAAGGGGATTATTTGTTTACCTAAAGTTGGTGATTTGTTTCTCGAGAATCAGTCTCAGCCGTTCCTTGATCTCCTGAAATTTATCTTTCTCCTCGTGGGTGATCGAGCCCTCACCGTCGGTTGTGTTACCGTAAACATGAGTGGCGCAAAAGGCAAAGCTAAAGTGTATCAACGTGGAATCTATCATGATCCCACGATCGATTCTGTCCAATAGATCGTTAAGGTAGCAAAGATGCCGAAAGCACCCACGCACGCCGTATCTATCGTCAGAAAACAAACGTTCAAGTCGACATCGCAGATAAAATTTACGACGAAAAGTAATCGCGCCAGCATCTTAAAATGTTCACACGACTCGGCCATCATCTACTATACTAGTATATAATACTGCCGGAAAAGTGCTGATTCGTCGTGAAAAAAATCGTGGCTTTATCGCAATTACGCAAGAGGCGCGAATCTTGCAACCTAAAACAATTCTTGCAATTCTTGCAACGAATTTAATTTTGGTGAGTTTCCCGATGACTTTGTGCATGATAAATTTTTCTCTAGTAAAAGAATATTGAAAATAGTCGCTACACATTACAAATCCAAAGAAAAAATCACCTATTCGCTCAAGATATATTGGTGCTTATGTTTGTACGAATGCAATCGTACTAAATGCGTTTCGGAGACAGACATAAAGATAGAGAAGGTGAGATTAAGACTCGAGGCAAACAACAGCTTCATTACCTGGCGCAATACTCGTCCAGTACAAAAACTTGACCAGGCGAGAACCAGCCGAGCGAGCAGTAGGGATCGTTCAGTCTGTAATCCAGGATCAAGTTCTGCAAGTACTTGAACAGAGCGGCGTGGTCGAACTTGCACGGATCGGCGCTTATGTAGTCCTCCATGCCGTGCTTCTTCGCCCGGTCTGCGTCGCCCTGGATCTTGCTGATGGTGGAGTTCTTGTCGGCCACCGAGACCGGTGGAGTGGGCTTGTGCGACTGACCGGTCGCCCGGTACATCGCCATCACCCACAAGTGACACTCGTTCTCGTCGTCCGAGGCGAACACTATATGATCGCCCTCATGCACGGCGTTGAAGAAATACCTGTCGGGTATACGCGACTCATAAGCTGAATCGTACAAATCGCACGCGGACCGGACACTGGTCAACGCACGATCTTTGCCCCGCCAGCTGCAAGATACCCTGCTCGAGCGCGCTGGACACGTTTACGTAGCGTAGATCGTGTCTATCATCGGCGCGATCATCGTAATGAAAAGAGATTCCACGAGCCCAACAAACTCTATTTGTTTTCGCAACCAACTACTGAATACCGCTACTAAACTGCTCGCTAGAGAACCAACGTGAAACTGAGACTGAGGAACGAACTTTCGGCTCATGGAATCGAGCTGTCTGACGGAATGGAGCATGGGGTTCTCGAGCAATAACTGGAAACTTGAAATTCCAAGGTCGGATCGATGGCGATTGAGAGATACATGAGCTCGCTCCAACCGCCGAAAGATCTCCTCAGATGTTCGTCCGACTTGCTTTTGTTTTCTACTAAAAAGAACTTTCGAAAAAACAAAAAAAGAAAAGAAAGAAGGAAAAACAGTAACGTGATATGTCGCGGTAGTGAAGACGAACGAAGCGTCAAGTGCTGTCACTACTAAACGCATTGCTCAACGTACCACATCAATCGATGTCTCGCTCACGTTCAATAAGAGGAAAAAAAAAAGAAAAAGAAGAAGAAGGGGGAAGAAGACAACGGAAGGGCAACTCGTCTAACAACGTTTGCGATTGTGTGCTCTACTTTGCTCTCTACTCGCATGCTGCATCGCGGCGGTTAGGTATTTTTCACTCTCCGGCGGATGTGGCGGGGGGAGAAAATTTACCTTCCGCCCTCTAAATCCATGCCGACCACGAGATTAGCAGAAACGACCTCGGTATAGTCCACTGTATAGCCATCGAGCTGCATCATTTCCGACGGCTCGCTTTTCTTCTCTTTGTACGAGCACATCGCAAATGTGTACTGCGAGACTTGGACCAACACAAAGTACCGCTTCTTCCATTTTTTCCATACAGACTTGCCCATCGCGAAGAGATAGCCGCAGTGTTTCATGTTGAGTGGCTTGTCCATACGACATGCGATCTTCATACGTAAATCCTGATCGGCGCAATTCTTGGGCACGGTCATGTGATGCCACTCGGGCACTTTGCTAGACAACGGATTCGGCCGCAGTATCACCTTGCCAAGCTCCTTGTCCTCGAGCGCGAGCATCGCCGAGTTCTCGGTGAACAATCTAACCTTGACCACCGGTAGCGGGTGCATCGTCGTGAAGTCACCCTGTGTGTCCCACCTATAATATACCCGAGGACGAGAATGATGCGGACGGTCCTGACCCCCCTGCGGTCGATCGCGATCGGTCAATCGTTCGATCGTTCGACTCTACTCACATGGGCTTGGAGGCCTCTGCCTGACCAGTCTGTAGCTTCTTTCCGCCCTCCACCTCCATGGTGCAATAAACTATTCTATTGGATGCTAGGCTTTTGAGGCCTTTAACCTCCATTACGACTACTTCCACCTGGAAGGTCAGGCCGACGTCCATTTTCGTCAGCTGGGGCTCGGAATCAGCGGAGTCGCCCTCCAGTTTAGCGAGGGAACCCTGACCGCGGCAGCGGGAGCGCTCACCACGATGGTTGTAGCGCTTCAGCTTCTGCAGCCCGTATTTGCTGTCTATCGAACCCTTGGAGACCGGTAAAGACTCCAAATTTGACATTAGCAGGTTGATAGACGACTTGAGCTCCTCGATGTAGAGCGACTCCATTTCTTTTACGAGGAACCTGGGCATGAGCTTGCGGTTCTAGGGATAAGAGAAGGACGATCGGCGTTCAGGAACAGAGCAGAAGCAATCGATGGAGAATCGCTTGGAGAATGTGCGTGAGAAACAGAGAGAGAGAGAGAGGGGGAGAGAGAGAGAGAGAGAGAGAGAGAGAGGGCGAGGGAGAGAGAGAGAGAGAGAGAGAGAGAGAGAGAGAGAGAGAGAGAGAGAGAGAGAGAGAGAGAGAGAGAGAGAGAGAGAGAGAGAGAGAGGGCGAGGGAGAGACAGAGAGAGAGAGAGAGAGAGAGAGAGAGAGAGAGAGGGCGAGAGAGAGACAGAGAGAGAGAGAGAGAGAGAGAGAGGGAGAGGGAGAGAGAGAGAGAGGGAGAGAGAGAGAGAGAGAGGCAGAATACGAGTATTCTCCCTTGTCCCGTAGAGAACGACGAAGCGATCGATAAAAAAATAGAAAGAAAGAAGCGGTTGTCACTGTACCTTCTCCATCTCGTTGACCTTTTGTATGCGACCGTCCAGCTCCCTCCTGATGGCGGCAGCCTGCTCATCGGCTGAATCCAACAGGAGGGCGTTGAACAGAAGCTGGTGCTCAAATTTCTTGATGCCGAGGATCTGCTGAAACATGTCGTACAGCTGCTCCTTCGACAGTATCAGCTCCGAGTTCAAAGACTGCTGTTGCATCCTGGAAGGCCTCTTGGTGTCTTCGTCACCAGTACCTTTCAAAATACAATCAAACTTGGCCAACCAGGACGTAAGCACAGTCTCTTTGCTCAGTCCATCGATTTCCGGGAGACTCCGAACACGTTTCTCAATGTTCTTCTTGAAAACCTCGCGGAAGTCGAGCTGGGAGCATCCTCCGCTCTGCACCATTTGCACTATTCTGTCTGACTTCAAGAACACGTCGTAGTAATTCTGTATAGCGTTGTGGAACGCCTCGTCCGCCATGATCTGCGTCTCGCCCTTCAAAAAACTCTGAAATTTACACGGGCTTGTTTAAAAAAAGAAAGAAAAAACCTCCGCGCAAAGGCGTCTGCGTATGCGTCCTGTGGGATTGTGCGATTGTCCTCGGTATTATAACGCTCCTCTCGTCAAGGCGCGCTATTCGCAATTCTGATTTTCGCTAATTAGTCTTCTCGCATTATCATGTATACTATACACAGAGTATTCGACGACAGGCCGAACATTTGCCGACGAACAACAACGAACGAAAACGAACCGAAAACACGTAATATACGAGTAATGTACGAGTATACATTCGTATCTCTCGATCACATAAAAATGTCAAGGCGTGCTTTCAAGGAAATTTGACGTCGCATAGCGGCAAATGCAAAGACGATTAATATGCATCTCACGCAGTGTGATATAAACCGTGAGACACACGACTGCGTTGATATACGAGAGAAACGGGCTGTATTTATAGCGGCCAATAATTTAATGCGATCGTACAGCGCTTCGATATATCTAAGAGCAGCGAAGGTGAAGGTTACACGGGTAGACAACTATAAGACTCTGAATAGGGCTTCGAGAAACAGCCATCTACCACGAAGGGTTTCGCTCTTCTTGCTCCGTGAAATAATAAATACATAATACGTGTATTCAAACGGTGTATTCTTGCACGATTCAAATCAATAAATAGACGACGATAAAACACGTCGCGTTTTTCTTTTATCGTTAATGACTCGTTTTTCGCAAACGAAATGTTTCTTCGGATATTTACCTGAAAACGAGAGCATATCGTCTCCAATTGTTGCTTCGTTACTTTCATCTGCCTCCGAACCATGTCCATCGGTTGTTTGGCGTTGAACGGATAAGCGATGCATCTCGATATGAAGACATAAAGCTGAATCCGAGTCTTCCTCTCCACTTCTTCCCTCTCCTGCTTGTCCTAGAGGGGATGAAAAGAGTGGTATTAGCGGAACAATAGCGCATATCTTAGATAAATCGTAATCCAATCTTCCTTCGCGCAAAAGAAATTGGGCCAAGCAATATGTTTCCTCGCAATTTCTGCTGTTCGTAATAACTCAGAGTCCGTTACTGTTTCTATTACAAGAATATTTGCTATGGAAATTCACTCTCTCTGTACGCTTGCATCTCTATCCGCTTATATATATATATATATATATATATATGTTTTAGCCATGATATATTTCATATTATTCTCAAATATATTTTCGAATATCACCCGAAACACGGGAAGCGCCGACATTGAAAATGTCTTTAGTGTGAAAAGCAAGAAGGAGCATGCAGACGTGTACCTGCAATTCTGCCTCCGTTTTCTCGCTGGCTACCGACGGTGACGGACTCGTGGGCCTCTGGGCGTAATTGGCGGCGTCCTGTGCCGCGCTCGTCGACGGCGACAGAGAGTTCCTGGCGCTGGAGAGATTGGGCACGTCCAGGCCGGCTCCACCACCGTCTTGCTGGCCCGCCGCGCTAACAACGCGACCCCCAGATCCATGAGCACCCGCGGAGCTCGGTGGACCCACATGATTTGGACCACCGGGCGATGCGGTGAGACCCGAGGCGAGCGAGCCGACGCTACCAGAGCCCGGACCGCTGCCGACGCTGCCGGGATGGCGACGAGAGCCGTGGGAGCTTCCGCTCCCTGCACGGCCGCCGCCGCCACCACCGCCGCCGCCATGGTGGGTGCTCTGATCCTCCTCGCTCTCCTCTTCGGACGAGCTTGGGTCTATCATCGTCTAAGAGACGCTCTAAGGGGGTGCGCGCGCGGTCCTCGACCCCCCCCGTCGCAGGAGGCCCAGCCGCTTCACGTGGTCACGGAGCCGTCGTGCTCACAACTTTCGGTGATGCTGATCGCGTGCTCTTTCGCTAACTGAAACCAGTGTTTGTTCCCACATTTTTTACACGGCAATATCTCTCGTAATCAATCGCGATATCGTGTTTGGCAGAAAGCGCGTTCTGTGAAAAATCCATTCGCAGCTCTTATTTTCGCACAAAGACACACCTGCAGTCTCAGTAACCTCAGTAATTAATGACTGGTAATGTGGCAGATACGCTAGAAGCTAAAGGGAAAATTTGAAACTCGCGAGTCTCAAAACAATATTTCTTTACGCGCTCTTTCTCCCTCCAGGCAACAGCTTAATCCCGACACTCTCTCTCTCTCTCTCTTGTATATATTTTATATTTTATATTTTATATGTCGAATTATATGAATTTATATGCGATGTTTCACTTCTAGTGCAATTGCGTAATCCGACACATAAACAAGAAACCTCTTTGAAAGCTTTTTTTACATGAAATATCTCCTCTCACAATATTTTGTAATATTCTCATCAGGAGCGGAAAAACACCGTAAAATTTGCTCTAATATTTAAACAGCGAAATAATTTGTGATAAAAATGAAGCTGCACCGCGGCCTATTGGAATAAAAAAATATATAGAACCGTCAGAGATGTGATCGGCCAGTAGCCGGTCTGGTCACATTGAACTGTGCAGTTGCTGAGAATTAATGGATTTTATATAGTAGGAAGTAAAATTATAGCAATTTTCCGTTTCTATAGCACAAAGCCGTATTATTTCGTTAAATGCGTAGCGCGTTCAATTATCGTTGATTAAGCGCGGAATTTCTAATTATGTGCGCGAGGCGATTGTTACGTTCGTTGTCTGGCATGAGCGTACAAGTTGCGTGTCAGGGGTGCAAGTGCGTGCCTCTCGGCGCAATTTGCATTCGGTGTTTTTCAAGTGCAAAGGCGCACTCTTCGTCGCGAACTTCGAAACGCGCGCTCGCGTCGTAATTGGAGACTGTCGTACGAAAACGAACGGAATCATTTATCCCGATCTCATCGTGTCGTCGACGCGCCAAGTGGCAATTCGCCGGAATGCGCCAGTTTCTCGTGCTTTGTCGTGTCGTCGCGGAAGCACCTCGAAAAGGCAAAAGCCTCAGATGAGGCCTTTGAGCGAGGTCCTTAATTCCGTTTCCCCATTAAAGTCCCGAGAAGCAAAAGCCCGAGAATAAACCTTTGCAAGAGCGTCCTGCCGAGAAGCGCTGGTTCAGGTCGGCCTGGTAAAAGCGGCAAAAAATCGGTTCGCATATCCCGCGAAGGGAACGGGGGATTTAATCCCATAACCCGTCGGAGAGACAGCTAAATTTATCGGCTTACGGCGTATACTTTGTGCGCGCGGCTTTGCCGCGTGGTTTTATCTTAATTATAATTGATCGTTTGAAGAGTCCATGGCCTCCCTCTCTCTCTCTCTCTCTCTCTTAAAATACTATCGGATTGCCTCGAGCGAGTTTCTATCGACTCTTTTACGAGAATTTATCGTGGCGGTCGTATATAAGAATTGAAAGCTCACCCGACGCCAAAGATACGCGAATTTCGCGCGGCTGATCTGCAACTCGTAATACGGACGTTTAAAGAGTTAGAAATATGAATTACACTTCAAGCTATCGCGACTTATGAATACGCGAATATAAAGTGTAAAATTGAACGAGCGATACGTTAATAATGTCCAGTCGTTATCTTTATCGCGGCTGTAACTCTGAAATTGTTGTGCATGGTTGTACGAGTTGAGAATTAATTAACAGTCATAAATTAAGAGATACAGCAAAAATCGACGTATAAAACCATTTTCAATATTTTCGCAGGAATCTCTTTTTCTCGAGTTTCGGTATTTATCGCAACCGAACGTGAAATTTTTCCGTTACCTTGTCGTGCGCGAGTATATGTATGCGTCGTGATTTATTAAAAATGCGTACCTTCAGCTATAAAATTATAGAATTTACATCGCTGCGCAGTTTTCGCCTATGAATCTGCATCTGTATCGAATGAATTTATCGACCTTTTCAATGCGATAAACATGCTCCCGTATTTACTGACAGTATAATACCCTCCAATTTCGCGTCGTACGGATCGTGGGCTACGAATGGCAAAGCTTAATTGCATTTAACTTCTCCGTATGCGCAATACAAATCCGTCGGTAATTGAACCGGCTCTTTGATGTGCACCTGTAATAATACACAGTCCTTCGCCCACTCACGTGCGATATACATCGTATTCGATTTAAACTATCGTCCATCTAGCGAGAAACTCGCCTTCTAGCTAATATTGAAAACGTGAATGAATCTTCAAATGCGTTGTCCTCGCGCGTACATTGCAATGTACAGTCGTATTCCTTGTAATCCTACAAATTTTTCTAACATCCTACGATATCGGGGAAAGAATCTCGAGGAAAAAGAACAGAATTTTTAACAAATTTGACATCAATTTTTGCAAGTAACATCGGCACAGCATCATTATTTTCCGTAATTTTGTCAGCTAAACGCTACGTATGAAACTTCGTATGAAGTTTCTATTAAAATGGAAATTAAGAAAGGAGTAAAAATCTATTCATTTATGTCACTTAATCTAACAATAAGTTTGTGAAAATACAATTTCCTACTTTAAAATTATATTTTGATGGATCTAAAACTTTCCGATGCGAGATGATTATTTTCTAACTGATATGGAGTGAAAATTGTCACTTTTGATGAAACATATATTTGCACGATACCTAGAATTCACATATTACGACGTTCCCGAAATAAATTTTCACGGAAACAAGACGAAAAATAGCAGACGTTTGAAAAGTGGTCAATACTGTCGATAGCAGCGATATAATACAATCGATGTAGATTCTAAATTAATTGCTGAATAGATCCTAATTTAATTTAATATTCGCTTGGTTCCTCCATAGTACGCATTGCGTAGGCGTAATTATGTCAACGAATCGTGTCCCATGTAAGGCGTCTCTAGATTGACAGAAATGCCAGCGGATCATTCTCAATGGTATAACACTCTCCAGCGATTAAATGAACCGACACGTGCAGACACGTGCTACGAAAAATAGATTGCCTATTACAAGCTTGGCTGCGTTAATGGAGAAATGCTTTTCGCGTCACGTCCGATGAGAAGAATTATTTCACCGAACAAAGTCAGTTGTTAATTGTGTCTTTATTTATACGGTTTTAATATAATGTACGACAGATAAAATATACATTCCTTCTTTATAGATTAATTAATTCAAAAGATATCTCAAGAAAAAGAAAAAAACGTCTAATGCCCGTTACAATGTAGAAATAGGAAATTGAAGTAAAAGAGAAATGCTGATGAGAATATGCTGATTTTCTTCACTATTATTCTGATATGGTTCGTAAAATGTTCAACCAACGTATAAACGAATTAACCGGAACCAGAACTGGCGGATTGTACATATAACTCGTAATTTTAATAAAAATTCCTGGAAGAAAAAAATCTCTCTTTCCTCCGTCAAGTCTTTAGCCTTTAACTATCACGAATAAAAGTGATATAAAAATATTACCTCAGTCACGAAACTTGGTCAGCATTGTTCCTTTTGTTGATTTAATTTCTTGCCAACAGGAATTATTAACTCTCACTTGTTATCGAGCTATGAATTTCATCTTTGCAATTTTTAGTGATTTATCAAGATAAATTTAATTTATTTCGTAAATACGTACATGGAAAGCGTAATCTGAAAAAAATTTATCCAGCATTATTCTACTCTTGACCTATTTCTTTAACGTTGTCTATTCTTCGTCATGTCACATTTGTCAAACAGATAGATCCGCCACGAGAGTACGAGAGAATGCCGAGCAATCTCCCCAAATTCTCAGCTTTCACGAACTCCAGTCGAGAACAGTTTTCCATATAATATATCCCTGAGCAATCTTCGGTTTTCAAGAATCTCGCGCAATTTTCGGGGCTCTCATCCGGTGTAATATGTTGCGTTAACACGATATTACATGCAGCGTGACAAGTGCGATCGCTCAATGTGTAAAGAATCCTACTACCAGGGCGAACGAAGGAAACTCGGTTGGTTGACGATAAGTGTCGGGCCGCGGAACTTAACAGCGCGGAAGCCGTCGATAAGCTACTTCCGGCTAGCGAAATCAGAACGAAGGAAGCAATGCACGTGAGAGAGGAGAGCCCGCGAACGTGAAAACATACCTGTTCCGTTCCTTGTACTTCGAAGAAAACGCACTTGTACGGATGCACGTGTGTGAGATTATGCATGCGTGTATACATGCGACTATTGTCCGGAATTTTTCCAGACACGATCATCGATTTCCGCATGCGATACTGCGCGCCCGACGAATGCAGGAAGCGAACTGGAACGGAAGAAAGACGTGCGTGGCCGTCACAGTGCAAACATATCGATTGTCTCTGGCCTGTCTCCTTCTCTCCGCTTCCTCCTATCTCTCTCTTTCTCTCTCTCTCTCTCTCTCTCTCTCTCTCTCTCTCTCTCTCTCTCTCTCTCTCTCTCTCTCTCTCTCTCTCTCTCTCTCTCTCTCTCTCTGCCGAGTTATATCCGCGATTCACCACTCGCGCTTCATGTACGCACGCGTGCACACATCGGATACGCATCGTGTGTTTAACGTCAAACGAGCAAACGAGGTTACCACGGGTCTGGAAAATCGAGATAAGTCGGAAAAAGATCGAAGAATGTCGACGAAATTCGGAGAAATTACAAGAGAACTTTTGAATTGCTTTATAGATAACAAAGAGTAAAATCTTTTAATGATGACTGTCGATATCTCGTAAATTGCAACTTGCTGAATTCTAACGTTACCGTATTTTTTGTTTCAGGTTGCCCCTCCCTTCAGGTTGAATGCATCTGCTGAGATGCATTTCCTTCACTTGACTATATCCCATTTCATTACGAGCATCGCATATTTCTTCAGGCATCGAACGTTCATGTAAGTAGAAAAAGAAAATAGCCGACCGTTCACATTGTATCTCGTATCTCTACGAGAGAGCCTGGAATAAGAGATCGTCGCGCTGCGCTTAACCCTTTGTTTGCCAAAGGGTTATTCTT